AAAAAAATTCTTTAAATAAATTCCAAGATTATAAAAATATTCTAAATTTCTTCAAAAAGTTTTAAGCCTTTGCCTTCCATATTTAAGATTTTGTTCTATCAAAAATTAATTTTTGTATATAAGAGAATAAGGAGCTTCTTTAATTTTTTTCTATATGGATAACTAATGCTCTGAGCACCATTTATTGAATAAGCCACTCATGATCTATAACATAATATCCTTTATCAAGCAAATAAATATACACATACATATACATACACAAACATATATATACACATACATATATACACACATATATATATATATATATGTATGTAGAGAGAGAGAGAGAGACAGAGAGAGAGAGAGAGACAGAGAGAGAGAGAGAGACAGACAGATTTTTGGGGATTTCTTAGTCTGTTCCATTGACTAATTTGATTATCCTTACCTCAAAACCATACTGTTTTAATTACTTTAGCTTTCTAATAAGGCTTGCAATATAGAAAAGCACATACCTTCATCCTGCTTGTCCTCAGAATGTCTTGGCTCTTCTTGGACATTTGATTTTTTATTTAATGCAATAATAATGTCACTGAAATTATTGAGACTTTTATTTTCTTTGCAGAAAAATTTTAGACTACTATTTTATTTAATGATTATACGGCTATTTAGGTTTTCTATTTATTCTCCAATTGGTTTCACAAGTTATATTTTTCTGGGCATTTTAAATTGTTTCCAATGTATAGACATAAAGTAGTGTAGATGATTCTTACTATCTCTTTTGGCACTTAAAGTATTTTTTAAACTTCATTTTAAATTAAATTTTTAAAAAATCTTTTTAAAATTTAATTTTGCCTATCTGTAGATATGTTCCTTTGTTCATACATATTTATACCTTCACTTTTCTCAATCTTACTAATCTATTTTTAACAGTCTTTTTAAAGAACTTTTGATTTGGTAGTTCTTCTCTATTTTATCTTTAATTTCTATTGTACTAATTTATGCTCCTTACTGTATTATATTCCTTTTTTTACTTTTTGTGTTGTGTTTCAATGCAAATTCAGTTGATTCAATGATTTCCCCACCATCAATTTAGGATTTGGTTTTCTTAGTTCTGATAACTCTGTTATCAATTCTTCATTTATATTCCATTTTCCAGAAGTTTGTTGCTGGTGTCTCATCTCATATTTTGCCCATCCTTGTGGGTTTATATGATTGTTTAAAATCCCTTTGCTGTTGTTTTAATAAGTTTGGGGAAGGGAGTAAAATTAGCTGTATGTGTTCAATATATTATCTTTATTTGGAACTTATATGATTATTGATCCTTCTTTCTTATCTTTTTTTTTCTTGTGCTACATTCTGTTTAATTTCTTCAACTCTATTTTCTACTTTACTAATTCCTTCTTCTGCTTTTCAATAATAACCTTTTTCATTTCTATAAGTTATGTTTAAGTCTTTTTCAAATCTACCATTTCACTTTTTATAGCCTAGCATTGCATGCTTATTTCTATGACTTCATATTTTTTGAATGAATTTTATAATAATTATACATTTCAAATATTATCATTCTAATATTTAAAGTTCTTAGAGGTAGAAGTCTGGCATACCTCATCTCTTCTACCTCTTGCTTATAGTGGTTTGCTTTCTTGTGTGTTTGATTATATTTCATTGATCATATATTATTGAGTGCTCATATATTATTGCTTAATCCATGGAAATCTAAAGACCCAAGTTGAGGAAGCTTTTCTCTCGAGAGGAGATTTGTTTTTGTTGAGAGCCAGAGGGTTACCCACCTATAAAAACTTTAGCTCACTGCTGGGATCCCAGGCTTAATCTCTCCATCTTGTTAGCTGGCTTTTGATTGCAGTTTTAACGTCAGCATTTGCCAGCAGGGCAATCCTGCCTTTCACCTATACTTAGCACTTAATTGCATTCAGGTCTTTTTTGGGAGTGAAGGTGGTAGTGCAAAAGTAGTATATAACTTCTTGCAAGCCCAGGAATAAAATTAAAAGTATGCTTTGTCATGTTGTCTTTATTTTATAGCACTAAACATTTCATAATATTTCATTCCTCATAGTACCAGAAGTGCTCTTTAATACTTTCATATTGAATTCTACTAACATGGGCCCCTCCAGTCATTACCATTTCTTTCCCTAATATATATATATATATATTTGGCCTTTTTCTGAGTCCATGGTATCTTTAGTGTGTCAATTTTCCCCATGATAAGAAAATCTCTCAATTTTTTAATGTTCTTTGACTTCTGTTTTACTTTCTGCAGAGAATAAACTTACAGCCTTGAGCTGTACATTATGGTCGCCACTAGCTCCATGTGGCTATTAAATTAAAATTAATTAAAACTAAGTGGAATTAAAAATTCAGTTATCAGGGGAAAAGTCTCAAAAGAAGAATCCAGGTGATTCAGTTCAGCATTTGATGAATTCCTTTAAGGCCAGTGAACGACTCTTTGAGTTCATTGCCCACCTCAGTCCAGTCACCCACAGTGGAGTGGGAAGGGGTCATCTGGTATAGATGCCCACTGGGGGCTGGGTGGCTGGAGTGGGTACACTGCCTTAGAGGTGGGAGGGACACAGTGGGAGGCATTTTTAATATCCTCCATGACTACATTTGGATTTTAGGACCATCCTTGACATAAACGTTATTCCTGTTTTGGATCTCTTTTAAAAGATGAAGAAACTGAAAATCTGAGAAATGAAATGAGCTACCCAAAGCTACACAGATACCAAGGAGAAAAGACAGGATTCCTTTTCCAATAAGCTGGGATTATTCAAATTTCAAATGAATTGAGACCAGGCATCCAGAGTTCCAGTTTTCCCTGTTCTAACATATAGGATGATGCTCCCACAAGCCACTACGACATGAGATTCCTGCCCCACCACAGCACAGAGCTATAGTCAGGAACAGTGAGAGAATGGATGGGAAAGAGCTCTGGAATGCACGAATACTGTACACATACAAGGATTGTGGTTCCCATTTTAAAGACTAATAAAAGACCCACTGACTCAAGACTGTGAGCAGGCTATCATGAGCTTTTTGGCCTCAGAATTGTCCCTAGCTGGTGATTCATCTTATCTCCTGGAGAGCTGGGTTTGGAAGGCTCTGGAGCTGGCCTTCTGCCACACTGGGGAGTGTGCTTCTCTTCTGCACTGTATCCACCTCAGAGCCTGAGATGTGTCCTGCAGACCCGGGTCTGAATCCCTATGCTGCTGCTTCCACCGTCGTGCCCATGATGGGGTAGATTATCCATGTGTCTCATTTCCCTTCTGTGTAACATGTGGGTAATAAAAAAAAAATAGCCCCTGCCTTACAGGTTTGCCATGAGGATCAAATGCAATAAAGCATGTAAAACGTAGGAAAGTGCCTGGCATATGAGAGATTCACAGTAAATGGAAGATAATGTTTTTTTCCCCTTTCTCTCTCAGAGTGAGGTATAGTTAAAAGGTACTTTCACGTGTATTTCCTCAGTTAATCTCCTGTGCTATCCTGCCAGGTAAATATTGTTATTCTCATATTGCAGATGAGGATACTGAGGCACAGAGATGGAGCTGACTGGCTTAAATTAAGGTCACATGGTTAGTAAGTGGCAGAGTTGGGACTTGAAGCAATGTCTTCTCATTGCAGACCCTAATTTCTTATCACTCATCTATCCTCTTACCCTCCAGCTGTTAAACATCCTTTTGCTCTCTGACAATAAAAAACCATTCTGAGGAAAAGATAAATTGCCACATTGTGTTAATAGAAAAAAAAATCTAGCTATTCAACAATGGAGGATAGTTCAACAATCGTACAGCCATAAAATACAGTATTAGGCAGCAACTAAAAATTATATACAAAAGGATATATTTAAGACAATGAAGATTATTTACAATGTAGTAATTTAAAACAGCTGACTAAAATATATATAATTTTGTCTTATTTTCATAAATAAATGGAAAGACACTGACAATCAATACCAACATATTAATAATAACTTAAATAGTATGAATGAGGATTATTTTGATCATTTTCTTTATGCTAATCTGTATTTTCTAACTTTAAGAGCTTTTAAATTTAAAAGCAGAAAACATTGGAATATACACATTTAAATGTATACCTTACTGAAACCAATTTAAAGTCTATTTAGTTCTTTAAAGGGAATTTCCCTTGATAGGATCCAAAGCACATTGTTTTATAATGGGGTCCGTATTTGCTCTGAGGAGCTGACCTCGTGTTGCAGGACATTAAGCATCTCTGGTCCTGGATACTTTATATCAGTAGCCTCTACACACACACACACACACACACACACACACAGAGACATTGTGACAAACACATGCACACATGTTTCCGGGTGTCCCTTGGGTGGGGAAGTGGGAGGCAGCCTGTCTATGCATGAGAAGCACGCAGCTGCCTGCACTGAAATGTCTGCCACCATTGAACAGTGAGCAGCAGGTACCTAGATTCGCAAGGGACACGTTTCTGGAATGGAATTTTGATTGCTTTGCCTCCAATAACAGTACACTTTCCCAGCTGTTGCTCTGTGGGGGTCCCAGACCTGAAGAACACTGGTCTGGTGTCGTATCTCTTGCCCAGAGATGCTGTCTTTATCCTCCAAACTTCCTTAGGAACAGTCAAGCTGCAGAGGTCACACACACTGAGGAATTCTGAGGACACTATCACCCAGGCCTACGAGGGCTCCCTGAGGGCTCCCTTAGGCCTCCCTCAGGCCTCCCTCGCTGTACCCTCTGCCCAGCCAGCCTCGGCATCTCCCCAGGAGCACTCACTGCTAACTCCCCTCCTGGCCATTGCGTTCAGCTGCCTTGCACTATCATTTATTTCTTTATGAATGGCTCTAAGTGCCTTGTTAATAAACCACTCCAGAGTGTATATATTATGGATGTATCTACGTCTTAAATACAGAGCATTGCTATGGGAGTTACTGTTACTTGTTTTTGGCTGCGATTCTTCCTAGTCCTAACTCCACACCAAGGAATTCTGGAATTTCAGAGCCATGTACTTACTTGGTTTTTCATATTAAGACTTTGATTGCAGTGACCAATGTTAAGTTTTAAGTCATTATCCTGAAAGAAAATAGAAAAGTGATTATGTATCACCATCCTTTCTCCTTTCTGATCCCTCATACCCTCCCACCAATCCCGTGCCCTTTCCTTTCTGGAGCCCAGGTCATTCCTTTTTCTTTTCTCCTGACATGTCTCTGTCCACTCATCTGGTGTTAGGTGTACAGTACGGACATGTTTTCCCTGGATGCAGCCCCAGAACCCAGTCCTGTCTTTCCGCCTCTTATTTCTAGCAGGTCATGCATGTTCTGGCTCTCTTAATGTGAGGCTGAAATCACTAACACCCCTCGCCTTCCAAGAAATACATCTTTTGTGTATTTCCCAGTTTTACGTGGTAGGTAGTTTCTTAGTAAACCTTGAGCAGAGTTCAGAGAGAAAATCAAGATGCCTTTTTCATTTGGGCTTTGGACTTCCTGGAAAGCCAAGGACCTTCTAACAGTGATTTCCGCCTTTGCTTCATAGTTTGGAATTTTCAAAGTTGCTACTCAAAACCATTTCCTTCTTTCTGGATTCTTTTTCTACAATGAGGTACACCTTGGTTGTGGCTTTGTGGCATATAAAACTAGACTTTCCATTAAGAGTGACTGAACTGAATGGAATTTAGCAAATTGTGTCTATTTTTATAAATATCTGTTTTAAAACAATTAAGTAGCATAAAAACCAGTAGTACTAAACAATGCAAAAGGGCTGTGCAAAGTATAAGCACTCAGGTTAGAGGCCTTTTCCCAAAATCTCGCATTGTCACCTCTCACAAGGGCAGTATACTATTAGATAAACTAATTATGCCGCTTCAACAGATCAGAGAAAGCAAAACTCCCCGGCTCCCGACTTTCCTCCAACTTTTCTGGCAATAAATTAGAAAAGAGAGAATAGATATTAATAAAGGGTCTATTAAACAGACATCTAACCTCATTAAACATGCTGGTCCGGATAAATTAGAGCTGAAGAGAATGGGATCATGTAGATCTATCAACTATGCACGGGCAGTGACCGCCTAAGACTTCACAGAGCAGGACAGATAACAAAGAACTAGAGACAGGAGGTTGCAATCCCCGCAATCCTAAATTTTATTTTATTGAAACAGGGGTCTTGCTTTTTTGCCCAGGTTGTAGTGCAGAGGCATGATCATGGCTACCTGCATTGTCGGCCTCCCAGATTCAAGCCATCCTCCCACCTCAGCCTCCTGAGTAGCTGGGGCTACAGGCATGTACCACCACACCTGGCTATTTTTTTTTTTTTTATTTTTAGTAGAGATGAGGTCTCCCTATGTTTCCCTGGCTGGTCTTGATCAAACTCCTGGGCTCAAGAGATCCTCCTACCTCAGCATCCCAAAGTGCTGGGATTATAGGTGCAAGCCATTGCACCGGCCTACAATCCTGAATTTTAAAATACAGAAGGTGAACTTACAAACTTGACAGCAAAAGCAGGCAAGGAGCTAGGAGGGATCCTGGACACCCATAGTCCCAATAGAGCTGGGCTTAGGGATCATATGATATTGCACCTACAAAGGTGAAATACCCTCCAAGTTTTCACTGATTGTAGAGCTCAACATGAGTCATCAGTGGGTTTGCAGCTGCTCAGAGCAAATGTGATATTCAGCTGCGTTAATGGAACTATTATGTTTCCAAAAGAGAGCACAATGACCTCTCTGGACTTTGCATAACTAGCTAAGTCTAAAATACTGAGTCATCTCCACCGATAATGGTAGTGATGATTCTCAGAACCATTTTGTATAAAGAGTTTCATGTGACATTTCTCCTGGGCAACAGGGTCTGCACTTAGATTTTGCTTTTTTTTTTTTTTTAATCACAAACACTGCAGGGCCCCGAGAGACAGACACTGTGCACTTTTTTCTTAATCAAACATTACATCAAGGAATGTTGTTTTTTTTCCTACGGCTTCTCTACTGTGCCTCAAGGTGGGACTCTTCAGCTGTCTGGATAGTTCCGGGCCCTTGAGCCAGTGTGGCTTGCTGGGTGTGGGCCCTGTGACAGAGGTAGGGCATGTCTTATGAAGAAACCTCTGCGAGCTCAGCCAGTCAGCCAAGTCAAGGAGGAAAAGTGCCCCCCTGTCCCCAGCACCCTATTTTTCAGTTCAATTTAAGGCAGATTTTCTAACAATCAGGGCTGTTTAAAAACAAAATGAGCTGCTCTGGGAAGGAGCAAGTTCTTCGTTTTTGGCAGTGCCCAAGCAGCGTGTGGGTGACCCACTGAATACTGCTGTGGATTAAGGAAAGGCTTGGCAGGGATGATCTGGGCGTGCCTCCAAACCTGACTCTGTGCTCCTATGCTTAGACCACCCCGGTCTCTTCTGATAAGAGTTCCCAAATACCTCGCTTCTCCTCATTTGGAGTTAGTAGCCCCCTACAAACTACAATTACAGGATTCTGAGTCCATTTTAAAGTAAAATGGATTATTTATCCTCTTATCTCTCTCCATCACCACCAGTACAGCCTCCAATCACTCAGCTCTGACCACTTGAATCCATAAGAAGAGAAAGACTGTATTATTTTGTCTTTCTAGCGTTCCTGGTCCATTAGAAGGATGCTGCAGTGCTCCCTCTTTAATCCCTTTAGCTTTTTGGCAAAGCATCGGGAAAAAACACCTTATGAGGAATGTGAACAGATCACAAGGGGAGCCAACCTGTGATTGTTCTTCCTCACTCACCTGCTTCCCAGTCAGCTCAGTCCAAATCCTTTTGAAGCAAGCGTATGAATTGTTGCTAATTTAGGGCAATTACAGGATTTACAGATTAAACAGATCCCCACTGGTTTCCCTAGCAACCATCTTTGAATCACAGGATGAGATGAAACTATTGTTCTAGTTAATGGAGTCTGATGTTAAGAGAAGTCCAGCCATGTAATTCACAGAGGTATGCACCCTGGTGGGAAAAGAAAGAGTGCTAGGCAGGGAGGCAGCAGACCTCCGTGCAGGTTCCGGTCCTCTGGGGTCAGATCCAGAACAGGAACATATCTCCAGACACTGGTGACAGTGTCCCCAGCAAAAAAAAAAAAAAAAAAAAAAAAAGGGGTTCAGAGCACTGCCGGGGAAGAAAGATGCAGATGTTTCTAAATAAGTGAAAACATTTAGCACAGAACAATCGAAGGCAAGGGGACTACTTGGACAAAGCCAAGACACGATGAGGTCAGGTGCAGGGCCCACTCCTCCAGCTGCCAGACCAGGCAATCAAGCCACGTTGGGGAATGCACATTATTATGTGACCAGACATGGGTGGGGTCTGGGAAGGTCAGCTGGCAAGATGGGCATACGAGTTTTGGCTTTTTACCTGCATAAGATGCTTGGGTTACATTTCAAAGCCCATTCCAAGCTCTTCAAGTAGAGCTTCTCTGATTCGGAACAAATTGAGAAATAGTCGTATTTCAGCAAATACAGATGAATACAGCACCTTTAATGGTTGTTGAGTAGGAGCCCTGAAAGTGGACCTGCAACCAGATGACCTTCAAAATGATACAACCCCAGCTGGGTCTGGACCTGCACGCGAGGAGAACTGAGTGTGTGGTGCAGAAAGATGGAGGTCAGATGCATGCCTCAAATCGATGAATTCTGGAGACCAAGAAGAGAGACATCAACCTCCAGATCCTGGGCTGGGATTCAACTGTTCTTCCCATAGGAAAGCAGAAGCAATGAAAAAGGTGTCTCAACCTGTGCACAGTCAGCTGAAACAAGAGAGCCCACTGTTTAGGACCCTTCTCCAACCTCCCTAAGAAGAGAAGTCATTCTTTCCCTTGGGGGGAAGTAAAAGAGGGAGGGGAAGGAAATAATTTCCCAATTCCCTAGAGGACAGAGTCCTGTTATACACTGGGAAGAATAATGTTTCCTCTAACACAGGGAGGAGTGTGTTGAATGGAATACCAAAGACATGTAGCTGGCCCATAGTAGATACTCCTTACTTGCCCTTGCTTCCCAGAAAACACAAGTCTAACCACCTACACCTCTGTGTGCAGAGAGTCTGCAGAACCCAGCAGCCATAACGAAGGCATTTACTAACACCTACACACATAGAAGTTCAAAGTCCCTTGGAAAATTAAGATCAACAGTAAGATATTGGATTTCCCATAACAGCTAAGTACAATGAATATATTAAGTTATTGAATTTTTAAGGGCATATTTTTTTGTTTCCCAGTATTTCTTGCTGTAACTATGAAGTTTTATCATTTTCCTTGTTAAAGGAAGAGAAAATGTGTTTATAAGCACGTATTTTGCAAAGCCCGTTGCAGCCAGTCTTTCTGAACTTTCACCATGGGGAGATTCACCCCCGATTCATGAAGTTTCTAGATTTCTTGTGCAGTATCTCAGAGTTCCTCATTTAATAGGCAGCATCTTAATCATACCAAACCCTGTCTTGTATTATATTTGGACAGTGAACATATACATATTTGTTTAAGGGTCATAGAGGGAAGACAACGCTCTCAGGAACACACTAGAGTGAGTGGTTGAATTGGATTCAGCCCTGCAACCCTTCTGTCTTTGTGATGCTTCATGTGCTCCTAGGGGAACTGAGCTTCAGGTTCTTTCTCTCCAGACATTCCCATTCCCCTCTACAAGGTAACTGAGTTCCTGGAGTAAGAAGCCACCAAGAAAGCCTTTCTGGGGTGGCCTCATCTCTTCAAAGAGCAAAGGAAAAATATTTCTCTTCTGATAGGTTGCTGATGCCTGCAATAATAATAATAGCAAATATGATGAATATTTATTGGCCCCTGACTCTCTGCCAGGCATGGTGCTAGGTGCTTTGTATTATTTCATTTCTTCTTCACAACAACCCGTGAGGCATTGATGATCATCATTCCCATGTTACTGTTAACTGAAGAATCACAAGGTTCAGAAACTTGGAGAGGAGAGCTTTATTTCTTACAAAGGGTTACAGCCTGCAGGGTGGCCATCCTGGTAGGCTGGGAAGCATAGCCTCCAGCAGAGACCAAAAGCAGGCACTTCAAGGGAGAGAGGGGTAAAGCAGGAATTTATGCCGAACTGTTTGGCCAAGTATACATATTTAACAGGTTACAGGGGGCAATAAATATTTAGGAAGTGAGGAATGCTTGCATACATAGTAAGCAAACATGCATGTTGCATGTGTCCCATGTTCACTGTGGGGTGGAGACTTACCAGTGCTTGTTTAACTGCTAGAGTGAAAGAAAACACCTCATAGCAGTTAGAACATAGTTTATTCCTTAAGAGTAAGGGCGTGTGACTTCATTCTTACCTGGCACAGCCTTAAGTCCTGTTTATAATATGGTATCTTATTGCCACAAAGAGTCCATTCCGTCAGCCTTATGATCTCTGTTTTGACATTACAGAAGAAAAATGAGGCTTGGAGACTCTCAAGTAACTTTGTGTGCAGTCTCACGACTGGAAAGTGATGAGACTTTTGCCAGTTTAGAAAATTCAATTTTAAATTCTAAATTTAAAACATTTGCCTCCCACCTACCCATTCCCCCTCCTCCTCAAAGTTGAAGATTTATTATATTTAAGGGAACTCTATTATGTGTTTGCATATTCCTTGAGGGTTTGAGTTTAGGGGTCATTCACACCTGATTTATTCTTTGCTCTCTGTCCTTAGGAAGAAATGAGAGTTTGGGGTGTTATATAACAGTTGGGAGAAGGTGGAATTTTGGAACCTCTGGACACTCTGGGAAGGAAAGACAATAGGCTGCTTCTCTGCACCCCTCCCCAGGCCAGCTCCAGGCTGACATATTGGAAAGAGCAGCAGAAAGGAGCCAGGGGACCGGGATCCTCAACTAACTTGTGGATCCTCAACTAATATGTGAGCTTGGCCCCTAGACTTTCAGTCTCTGGCTGCAGTTTCCTGCACTTTAACACAAACAGGTTAGAATTGATGAATGTCAAGTTTCCTCTGAGTTTTCAGTCTAGGTAATTCAATTCTGCATCTACTAGAGAAACTGCTGGGAAAAACTGTTTTCTCTGAGAACTTTTCCTGCTTATTTGGCAATGTTTATATAGTGTTTACAGGTAACTACTGTATACTCTCCTAAGAACTTTATGTACACCAACTTATCCTCACAATAGACCTATGTGGTATTGTAGGTAGTGATATTATCCTGTTATAGGTAACAGCACAGAAGCATGTGGTGACTTGCTCAAGGTCCCACAGTTTGTAAAAGTGAAGCCAAGTTGAATGTACGCAGTCTGGGTCCAGAGTCCATGTCCTTACCTTGATATTATAGTCAGTCTTCTGTATCCACAGGTTCCGCACACAACCATGGATTGAAAATATTCTAAAAAATTAAAAACAACAACAATAAAAGTGACATAAATGAAAAAATAAAGTATAACAACTATTTCCATAGCATTTATATTATATTAGGTATTACAGGTAATCTAGAGATTATTTAAAGTATATGGGAGGATGTGCATAGGTTACATGCAAATACTATGCCATTTTACATAAGGGACTTGAGTATCTGCGGAGTTTGGTATCCACAAACATCCTACAGCCAATCTCCTACAGGTACTGAAGGATGACTAGAGTTTGTTTTTAATCTTGTCAACATAGAATTGTGTGTCTGATCAAGTATTCCTCTTTAAGTTGACAACCCAGTTACTTCTCAACTTTATTGCGTATACAAGCCCTGTGAGTGTGTGTTTTAGATACTAGGCTCAGCTTTCAGCTTTATTCTGCCTGTCTGTTTTTCTTTCATTCTTCACCCTACCAGGTCTTTTTCCTGTCTATGAGTATATCTCTTTGCAGTTTACCCAAACATCCTTTTTGGAAGATGATAAGACATTTTAAAAAATAATAAAAACAAATTTAAAGATGATTCAACGATACAAGTTGGGAATCCTCCTAAGTGGCTTGCTGTATCCCCCAGTGCCTGTGCTGGGCTTTCACGGAATTTGGGAGAGAAAGCGGGGATGAGGGCAGCAGTTCTATCTTAAGATGAACTAGATGCACGTTCTCAACAAGGATGGCAGTGCTGCTCGGGAGGTGTTGGAAAATTGGTTGAATGTGGAGGAATTGATTTTCACAATAATTGGGGGAGGAGGTGCTATTGAGATTTACTGGGCAAGGGAGAAATCTGCAAATGTCCCACAATGAAGGAGACAGTCCTAAACAAATTTCAAACACTCCACTAGAAATTTATGTAAGTAAAAATTTTTATAGTTACCTGAGCCTTGGTCCTAAACTCCATGTTACATATTTTTTTAAAGGATATTTTGCATGGTTTTAAAATATACTGAATTTTCCAGGAATGCAACTCCCATGTAAATCGAGGGAAGATTGTGCTTTGTTTGTTTCGGAACTTTATCAAGAATTGTTCAGCACTTCGAAATATTCCTTCATCAATGACAACGCAGCTTCTGGTATTTGAGTCAACAAGGCAACACACGTTTATCAGCTTTTCATTTGCAGTTGTCACAGTCACATTGATTGTACTTGTATACGCACACAAATATGCTCATTTAGCCTTTATCTCAAAATGTTAAATACAAGGAAAAAGTGTCAACAATAAATATGCTTTGAGTATTGTCTTAATTCTCTTACATCCATATTAACTCATTGTAAGTAGAAGAAAACATCGGCCAACTTTATCCTGTCTCTAGTGTAGTCATGCCTGAACCTTTCCAGGTTGAAAAATATATCTTGTTACAAATTACTTTTTATTTATTTATCCTCCATGTAACAGGATACTGTATTGTTTTCTAAATCTTTAGATTATCTATAATATTTTTCAGGATAGAAAAAGGAATATTGCAAATATATGTATTTAAAATGGCAGTGTTGCATCTGATAGGTTGAGAACCACTAGCTAAGCCTTCAAAGGTGCATGTTCCCAGCACATGTAATGGCCTTCTTCAACTGTATGATTCCCAGCTTAATACAGCCATTTGAGAAGTACTAAGGCAGTGCAGAATTGCGGGGCCAAGATCAGAAAGAAAATCTCCAAAAAATTTGGACCATAGTAGATATAAGCTAAAAATTAATTTTTACAAAAGTAACTGTAAAATACCCATATGCTTGGAAGTTTTAAAACTACTTGCAAATTTCAAAAACCCCTCACAATTAGTATTTTAAAATAGTTGAAACTAATTGAATGTAAACATTGATAATATCAAAACTTGTGGGATATAGCTAAACCACACTTAGAATAAAATTTACAGCCTGAAATGCATGTAATAAAAGAAGGTTGAAATCAATGGTTTAAGTGTACCACCCAAGATTTTAGAAGAGGAAAGGCAAATTAAATAAAAAAGACAGGAGAGGGAGGTAAAAAATTAAAACAGAAAAAAATTAATGAAACATAATACAATAAAGAGAATCAGTAGGCCAAAAGTCTGTTCATTAAAAAGTACAATAAGATTGATAAACTGGCAAGACTGATCAAGAAAAAGAAAATAAACCAAAAGCAAGAGCCAGAGCAAGCGAGCAAGACAGCAAGAGCAAATTACCCATTATCAAAAATAAAAAGGGTCAGGCACAGTGGTTCACACCAGTAATCCCAACACTTTGGGAGGCCAAAACAGAAGGATCACTTGAACTCAGGAGTTTGAGACCAGGCTGAGCAACATAATGAGATCTCATTTCTACACAAAATAAAATAAATATCCTGGTATGGTGGTGCACACTTGTAGTCCCAACTACTCAGGAGGCTGAGGTGGGAGGATTGCTGGAGCCTGAGAAGTCGAGGCTGCTGTGAGCTCTGGTTGCACCACTACACTCCAGCCTGGGCAACAGAGTGAGACCCCATCTCAATAAATACATAAATAAAAAGGGGGATATCATCACAGACTACAAAATTTCATCACAGATGCTACAAAGTTAATATGAGGATAACATGAACAATTTTATGCCAATAAACTTGAATTTTTACATGTTATGGACAAATTTCTTAAAAAGCACAACTTACTAACATTGATACAAGAAGAAATAGAATATATGAATAATCTATGAATATTTTAAAAATTTTATATTCAATTCTGTTCCCACAAAGAAAAGTTGGGCTTCACTGGTAAATTTTACCAAACATATAAGAAATAGAACAATTACACAGAGTATTCTAGAGAATAGGGAAAAAGGGGAAATTTTCCAATTTTTTAATAAAGTTCTATAATTTTGGCACCATCAACTTGATACCAAAGAAATTACAGTCAATATTACTTACAAACATAGATGCAAATATTCTAAAAGAAATATTAGCAAACTCAATACAACAATATATAAAAGGTGCAGTTGATCTAAACGAAGTTGGATAATTTCTAGAAATGCAAGACTAGTTTACCATTGGAAAAGTTAGGCAGGGTAATTCACTGTATTAACACCATGAAAGATAAAAACTGCTGACATCTCAATAGGTTAAAAAATATTTAATTAAATTCAACATCTATTCATGAAAAAAGACTAAGAACTAAGAAAGGAAGATAATTTCTTTAATTTCATCAGGGCCATGTAAAAAGCCAGCATCATAATAAATGGTGAAATGTTGAATGCTTTCTCTCTGAGACTAGGAACAAGACAAGTATGCCCAGAACCACCACTTCTTCACAGTATTCTAATGGAAATCCCAGTAATTACAACAATAACAGAAATTAAACCAAGGGTATAAGGAATAGAAAGAGATAAAACTATGATTGTTTGCAAATGTTATTTGTATATGCAAAGAAAATCCATAATAATTACAATTAAAGTATCATAAATAATAAGTGAGCTTTGCAAGGTTGCCAGATGCAAGGTCAAGATATGAAATCAATACCAGCATTAAAAATTAGAAAATAAAAATTTAAAGCGGATATTTCATAGTAGCAACAAAACTACCAAATACTTTTGAATAAATCTAACAAAATATGTACAAAACCTCTGCACAGAAAATAACATATGTTGAGAGAAATTACTGAAGACCTACATAAATAGAGAAATACCCCATCTTGGAAGAATGAAGAAAACTCTATGAATCATAAACTCCATTATATGCAATCTCTATTAAAATCACAGCAGTGTTTTTTAATAAAAAGTTCTGAGCAGCTTCTAAAATATATATGGAAATACAAAGGACTGTAAATAGCCTAAAGCCTAAGGACTTACTCCATCAGATACCAACACTTATAGGTAATTAAACTACAGTAATTAAGACAGTGTGATATTGATGTAAGGGTAGAAAAATAGACTACAGAAGAGAGTTTTCAAACAGATCCACACATACTTGGACATTCAATCTTGCAAGCTAGCACTGTAGAGCAATAGAGAAAGTATCATTCAGTAAATAGTGCTCAGTCTATTGAGTAACTGTTTGGGGAGAAAAAGAGAAACTTGATGATTATGTCACACCACACATAGAAATCAATTCTCAGTGCGTGGTAGCTCTAAATGTAAAGGGTAAAATAATAAAGCTTCTATAAGATAAAATAAGAAAATATCTTCATAATGTGAGGCTATAGAAAAAATTTATTAAATGACACAAAGATCACTAACAATAGAGGAAAATATTGATAAATTGGACTATATTACATTAAATTAAGAGCTTTTGTTCATTAAGTGACATTATTAAAAGAAGGGGAAAAGTAAGCCACAGAGTAGAAGATATTTGCAACACATGTAAATGTGAGCAACTTGTGTCCAAAACACATGAAAAACTTGTACAAACTGATAAAAACACAGACAATTCAAGATGCCTCCTGTATAAAAAAGAGGATACCAAATAGCTAATATACCTATGAAAGGTGGTCAACCTCATTAGTAATCAAGAAAATACAAATTGAAATAAACACCTACCCTGTGACCCAGCAATTCCATTCCTAGGCCTATACCAACAGAAGTGCAAGCACATGCGGACAAAAAGATATTTACAAGAGTGTTGATAACAGCCTTATTTGTAATGGTCCCCAAATGGAAGCAACTCAAATGTCCATTCATAGTAGAAATTGTGGTGTACTCGTTTAGTGAAATACCATACAGCAATCATGATGAATAAAACTATACAATGTGAACAAATTTACAAACATTATTTTGAGCACAGAAATTCAACATGAAAAAATATATACTGTGATGATATATAAATGATTCCACTTATGTAAGGTCAAAAACAAGCAAAACTGGCCAGGAGCAGTGGCTCACGCCTATAATCCCAACACGTTGGGAGACAGGTGGGCAATCACTTGGGATCAGGAGTTCAACACCAGCCTGGCCAACATGGTAAAATCTCTTCTCTACTAAAAATACAAAAATTAGCCAGATGTGGTGGCACGTGCCTGTAGTCACAGCTACTTGGGAGGCTGAGGCAGGAG